GGCTACCACAATCCTTCGATAGTACGTTATTGGTCTCGAGAAAATAAGCACCTTAGTATGGCACTGCGGACACAATATCCACAAAAAATAAATGTTTGGGCTGGCATGCTGCAAAATCCTATCATTGGGCCTTTTTTTATTGATTGTATGTTAACAGCTGCCAAATATTTGGATATGCTACAAAACGAAATTGTACCAGCAGTTCGAAATTTGCCAATCAATTTTGAGGAAGTGTGGTTTCAGCAGGATGGCTGTCCTGCGCATAACGCGCGGAACGTAAATCTGTTCCTTCAAACCACATTTCCCAATCGGCTAATTTCCACACAAGGCACAATTAATTGGCCACCACGCTCTCCTGAATTGTCGCCCAATGACTTCTTTCTGTGGGGATATGTAAAAAATTCCATTTATGGCCATAACCATGACGACCCATGAATATTGACGAGCTGCGATTAAAAATCGTTCAGTCGTTAGAAAATATCCCCGCTGTTATGTTAGCTAAAGTTAGGTCAGAGTTTTATAACCGTCTTGGCTATTGCGAAGCACAACAGGGAGGTATTTTTGAACCTTTGATTTAATTTTTTATAATTATTTTGCTAATTGTCCTTTTTTAAAGTTGATTTTTAGTCATTTTTTTAATGCTTGTTTTAACTTATGCTGAAACAGCAACAAAAACATGAGCAGTATAGATACAACCGGACGTTTAATTATTTTTATTGTTAAAAGATTAAACGTCTCGAGATGTATGGATAACCTTCAAAATCGTAAATATATTGTAGAATGATGTACACCCAACCCCTTTCAAAATCCGACTGATTTGATTTCTGTCTACCGTTCTAGGAGACGACACTAAAACTCACGATACCCTAGACAAGGAAAGAGAATCTCTCTTTCCTTCTCTAAGGACAAAATACTGGGAAGCTGAACCGCGCAACCGCGGTCTACGTCAAAGTCAGCTGAACTGCCGCTGATGGACTATGGACTTCGTAAACAACGGCACTTTTATAAATTATCAGAGTAAATATGGCCCTATTTAAAAACAAAGTTAAAAACTCATCAGCATTCCTGTATTTTTAAATAATACAATAAATACTAAAAGCACTTTAAAGAAGATGTACAATTTGTGAATGCGTTTTGGGAGACTGGATTATTTTTAATTTGTGTTGTTTCACTTGTTAAAAACACAATAATAATAAGAAACGTATTAATTGCCCACTGTGTACTCTAAATATGGTAGTCTGTATAGTTTGTGGAAGTTGAAGTATATTGGAACAACATTTGAAGGTACACACCATGAAGTAAAATTGGAAATGGAAACACATAACTTTGCCTATGACTTTGCTACAAAGGAAAGTTATAAACTGTGGTCCGAAAAGCAGAAGATCAAGATAAATTATGCATTCGCCAAGTCAAGAAAATATGGAAAAAAAGCTTACAATTATTATTGTAATCATAGTAAATCAGCCAGGCAGGTAAAATAGAAATAAAAAAACACTATGCTAAATAGTCTCTTTTTATTTTTAGGACACAGCAATTGTTCTAAATGAACAGAGAAGGCCAGTAGTTCAATAAAAAAAAACATATAATGTGCCATAAAAGGAAAATGGATAAGCAAGAATAATTATTCCGAACAAAGTGAAAGTGGTTATTGGTTTAAGACTTTATTTATTTTGTTTTTCGTCTTATAAGAATAGCTCCCGTATATAGCGTTTAACGCCTTGGGAGTGGCAAGGTACAGCTTGCTATATTAGAGCCGTTCGGTATACAAGGAAGGTAATGTGGCTAGCACTACGCTTCAACCGCCTATTATTACCTCAGGATTGTGAATCCCAAGTACTCATTTAAGGCTGAGTCGACCTAGGTACCCAAACTATTTTTATTTTAATAAAATAGTCGGCTGATAAAATGCCGGGTGTGGGAATCGAACCCAAACCTTGAGATTGGTAGACGAGAGCCTGTACCTCTACGCCACCGGGCACCTTTTTCGTCTTACTTAAGTAAATATGTATTGACTGTTGGTTAAGGGTTTTATATTTATTTTGTAATACTTACTACCTGTACAATGTGTTATTGTTTATTGTTAAAATGATTGTATAGTATTGTTGTAATTATTGTATTTTCTTGACATGGCATAAGTGAGAACCATAACAACAACCATAACAACACCCATAAATTTCTTGCTGTTTCTTCTTATAAGCCGTAATCGAAACTGCAACATTCTAATAAAATTAGAACTATAAATTTGTTTTTTTATTTCTAATATGTTACAGTTATTAAGCCAACAAATTTTCCCAAAACGTTTATTTCCCCACGAAAATGTGATTCAATTTAAGAACTGACATTTTAATAAAAAATTTCAACTTGATTCGGAACATAATATATTTCTCCGCCCTGTACTGTATTTCAAATTTTTCTAACCGATCTTCATTCATATGTAGGACATAATGATAATAACTAGAGTAAATGTTTAAAATGTTTTAAAAATATATAAATGCAGATCAATTTTTAAATATAGCCATATTTCTAAAAATAGTCTAAAAACTATAAAAAACAAAATGAACAACCAAAACAGTCAATTACTGTTAGCAATTTCGCATAATAAAATTATTTGAAATTATTGTTCGATTCCCGATTATTCATAACATTCATAATGTTCAAAATTCCCTGCAAAGCGCTTCTCGCCGAACAAAACCGAACTCCCCGTGTAGGATCCGAATGCTTCCGAGGTTTTCGTGAGTTTTAAGGTCGATTTATAGATTGAAAACGTTGCGGTTCGACGCCCGACGTTACGGTCGGTAAAAAGTTCGTTTATACGCAGGATGTTTTGTTGATTATAAATTTTTCGGTTGTTGTTGCGGTTGAGGTTTTACGTCCAAAAGTTAACCAACTTTTAACTTCGACAGGAACGTTGACCTTGAAACGTTAGTAATAGCCAATAGAAATGACTTCTTTTAGCGTCTCTATTTAAAAAAAATGCGGTGGCGGCGATTCGGGCGATCATAACATAACCTCCCAATTGTTTCAGTTTCGTTTTGGAAAGTAGGTATGAATTTTCGAAATTTTCTTTAGAAAATGCAGAAAAATGGTGATTTATATTAAAATTTAGTACTTTGTAGGTGTTTCTATTTTGTTATTGGTGCCTTTTGTTGTGAGCTGTGAAAATGGAGGTCTTGGAAGACACTAGAGTTGGTATGTATACTAAACAATGTGCACAAAGATATAATTATAAATTTTATATATTATTTTTTATAGATATACATCTTTTTCTTTCCTTAGTAGAAAGATATAAACACTTATACAACATCAAACATAAAGACTATAAAGATGGTCAGAAAAAAGAAAATGGCTGGAGGGAAATAGGCACCGCTATGGACATATCAGGTAACATATTTTATGTAAGAAACATACTAAATAAAAGACTAGTTACATAATAACACCAATATAATAATAATTAGTATTATAATGTATACTTATTTTTAGTTGAAGAAGCTAAACGGATATGGAAACTCCTTCGGGATACATATGTTAGGAAGAAAAAAGCTGAACCATCTGGCTCACGAGGTGGCTTTGCTAAGCCTTGGCCTTATATGCAGGCCATGCAGTTTTATGATTCCTGCAGGGTACAGAGAAGGTACACAAAATAATTATTGAAATTATTTAGTACATACCTAAAGATATTTTATTATTTTTAGAACAGTTTCGAACGTAAAATTACCTATTTCTCGGCCTAGTACCTGCGCAACTGCCTCTACTAGTACCTCTACTGTATGGGACAGCATGTCCACAAAAACAATAGTTAGCAATATGAACACCACTGTGGGTCCTGTAAATGCAGCCTTTGGGAAATTTGTGTCTATCAGGCTTGATGAGATGTCAGCTGAAATTTCCAAACAAAAAAGACTAAGGATTATGGAGATTTTGGAAGATTAAGTTTAGTAACAATAAGTATAATATTATTCTACAATATTTTAAGTTTTGATGTTACGTATATTAAGTGTATACAGCGGATCCCAGTGACATTTTACTGTGAAATTAGTAATAAACTGTTTTCCTATTTGGTAAGATCACAGATAACATGTGGTAAGATGTCACTGGGACATGCTATTTTTAGCAATTAAATAATAAAAACACAGATCCTTTCCGATAAACTACAATTCAACACATTTAATCAACTATAAATCACAAACAATATTTCAGGATACTTTAATAAACAAAGACAGCATTGTAACAAGCGTGCTGAAGTGCCTCATCACACTGGTGTGACACTGGCGCGACCGACAGCGGTCCGTGCTTATCTTCCCAAAAATAAATCAATTCTTTGTTTATATAATCATATTTCTAACACTATACATACATAAGTTTTTGAGTTTGGATTTTTTTTATTCATAAGAATTTTTATTTATGTTGTCCATACATCTAATTTAATATTCCTATAATAAGACTGAAGGCCTGTGATTTTTGTGATATACTTAGTAATATAAGAATATAGGTAGACACTGTTGGCAAAGCCGTATTTCCTTTTTAGCATGCATGTTTCTGCAGGTTAATATTTTTTGAAATGTTGTTTTTATAAAAGATATAATAAATAAAACAAAAGTATGTGAAAAATGATTTTTAATTATTTTAAGTAGGTAGGTGGTTTAAAAAATACAAAAATCAAAAATTATCTACACTATGTCCACGGATAGAGGTCCAGAAGGTGAAAAGGACTAAAAATTGCAATGGAAAAATGAAATTTTTAGTCCATTTTACCTCTTGGAACATCTTTCCATGGAGATACTGTATATATTCATAGCCAAATTAAAAACAATCCATTTTATCTAAGGTAAACAAAAACTTAATATGGAAACATAAAGTTAATTTGCAGCAAAAACAGTACCTCTATTGAGTACATGGTCGTACTGCCAAGGCAATTCACCAACCTCAGAGACAAAATAGTCTGCTACACTATTTCTCAGTTGGTAGAGGTATCGTACCGCATTATTATTAGCTAGTCTACCAACTGATCTAAGTGGAGTAGTTTCCTCTCGCCAAATGCCATCGTTCTGATCTCCATTGTCAGTGTAACCTGCTGGATTATATTTTTGGCTTTTTGATAAGCAATAGTTATGTAAAACAACACATGACTTGACTATGGTATCCACATTTGGAGGGTCTGCAATTATGGTGGTTTTTAAAATTCGCCATCTAGCAACCAAGATTCCGAAGGCGTTTTCAATAGTCCTACGAGCTATGGTAAGTCTATAATTAAATATTCTTTCTCTCACAGAAAGATTGGTGCCTCCAAAGGGTCGAAATATATATTTTTTTTAGGGGAAAGGCTTCATCTGCTACTAAGACATAGGGCATTTTCAAGTGGTATTTTCCAATTCCTCTGGAGGAGGGATGTTTAAATGACCCTTTTCCAGAAGCTCCTTAAAAAGCATATTGTGAAAAATTCCACCATCACTTGCGCTTCCAAGAGAACCCACATCCACCATGATAAATCTATAATTGGCATTGCAGATTGACATCAATACCGTGCTGAAATGTTTTTTATAATTAAAAAAGGCAGAGCCTGAATTAGGTGGGGCTTGTATTGAAACATGCTTCCCATCCAGGGCTCCTAGGCAGTGAGGGAAATTCCAAATATCTTCAAAATCTTTGGCAATAGCTTTCCATTCTTCAATGCTGTGGGGTAGCTTCAAATATTCATTTTTCAAACTATCCCAAATTGCCTCGCAAGTTGTATAAATAATGTCCCGAACTGTAGTTTTTCCAATTTGGAATAACCATGCCAAACTTTGCATTGAGTCGCCGTGGGCCAGGTAGCGTAAAGTAATGCAAAGTCTTTGTTCGGCTCCAATTCCCCTCTTAATTTTTCTTTTTTTAATCTTATCATGAATTAAAGCCAGCAATGCATTAAAACTATTATCAGACATTCGAGTCCACTTAAAAAATTCTTCGGGGTCCTTTTTAATGTTCTTAAAATAATTAAAAGAACTTTGTCGTGATAGATTTACAGGGCAAATGCTCCACCTCCTGGGTCTCCGTTTTTTCTGATTTTGCCTGAGCTTCAGTGCCAAACAACACAATAACAGGCCTAAAACTCCAACCGATATCTCATCATCGTGTACATCCATTTTTTTAAAGCCAAGAAAGAAAATATTTTTAATTTTGCAAACTAAAATATCTAATTATTGGTATAATAATAATTTTTAAATTCTTCAATGACATTCAATGATTGAATAAATAAGGTTAGATTGAAAATGTTAACTGTAACCTTTTAAATCTATAACTAACAAGAAATTACCGTCGTTATCGTTCAACGTCAACCGCAACGTCGAACCGCACCGTTTTCAATCTATAAATCGACCTTAATACTTCTGACCGAAACGTTGTGTAAGCAAAAGAAATAAAGACAATGGAAGTCCGAAACTCTTTTAGTTTTAATACTGGATCATTGTTTACCATATTCAAAGTAAAAATGGATTGGTATGAACGTCATCTCCCTTTTTTCTGTCATAGTCTGTCGAAATCTCACCTGAGTCGTAAAACACAGTATACACGAGATACAATTTTTTTGTATTGCATTAGGTGCTTTTTTATTATGTTGTTGGCCAATAAAATCACCTGCCCGACCATCTTATTTCTACATAAAACAAACCCGTAATTAATTGCCAGAGTACGGCCGATAACTATTTTTTTTTCGTATAATAATTCGGCTGCTTTATCGCTCGTTGAAATTAATTGATGACCGGTACCCTCCCTTTTTTTCTTATTACCCAAAAAGTACCACGTCTCGCACACAGTTCAAATATGTGTTGATCAAAGCCAAAAATCCATCTTTGGCCACATTGCTCATTTACGCCGGTTCAAGGCCGGATATCTCGTGAGTAGAGTCGATTTAGACACTTGTCAACTGAGAATGATATGGCCTATGACCGCGGTTCGGATTTCGTGTAAACAAAGTTGGCCCCGTCCAAATTAGCCCTGGCGGCAAAAAGGAGTCGTTCGCTTCAAATCTTTTTACTTTACTTTGCCATTATAACCATTATCATCTCCATAATATTTATGAAATAATATTTCCTACTATATTTTAAATATTAAATTGTTTTTTTTTTTTATATTTTTTTTTACTTATCTTTATCCTTTTATTGCTATTTATAATTCTGAATACGAGGATAATAAATTTTAGTTACTAAGTGCCTATGACCAGCTTGAACGTCTACCTCCCTTTCATCAGCGGCCATAGTGGATGGAGATAGGGATGATATCTAAGACCATAAAATTAATAAATTTTGCTGGTCTGCTGCAAAACGTAAGAAATATTTATTAATATACAAAAAAAAAAAAAAAAAAAAAAAAAAATTTTATGAATAATATGGTATTTGAACATCATAATATAATTATATTAGTTGACCATAGAATTAATTTATCAGCTATCCGCAGAAAATTGACAATAATAATAAAAACATGACACATGGCAATTAATATAATTCCAAATTAAAATGGATAGTTTTCATTCTATAGTAATACAGATATATTTCAAAAAACTTTACTTAAAATTAAGTTTTTTAATTTTGTACCTAGTTTATAGCACTTGGTGGTATAACTTGACAAAATAATATCAATCATTAATAAAGCATAAACAGACAATAAAATATAAAGGTTAATTTATTTAAATAAAACTATTACAACGTACGGCTTTGTATGCCGATTGTCGTGTTTATGAAGAATAAAGTCAACGTTTGTTCAGTACAATACGATATACTGAAAGAGAAAAGACTATAAAATACGGGAGAAAAATGAGAAGTTTATTACCATCCACTTAATCCGGATCTGTCGACAATAGAATTTGTGATATTTACAACATTATGTAATTAATTGATTATCGGTCCTATTATGTAACTGAGGATGTACTAAGTAATAAAGGCATATTCTTTGGTTGGTTTAACAATAAACGTACACACGGTTTGGTTGCTGATTCTCGTGTGTCAGCGTGTTCAGTACAATACGATATATTGAGAGAGATGCTGATGCCTCGCTTCAGCAGGCATTGCATCCCTTGGTTGCGCCATAGGGCGGGTAATCTATTAATTAAAGCAAACCACTTAATTCTGTTTGTTGAGATTTCAATGTAATCAGTATGATTACAGATTAAATAATTATGGAGGTGCATATGAAACATTAAACGATTCATAATTGTGTTAAGTTATACCACATAATTTAACAAAAGATCAATCATTTAATGTCTCACTTCACACTGGCTCACCCCATTATTATTTAATACTGATTAGAATGGTCGACAATACAATTTGCACTATTACTACGTATTTTCTTATATTTTTGATTTAGTTTATTTAATGATACTGCGCAATAATACACGGCTTTGAGTTTAGGTGTCACAGTCTCATGAACTCTGTGATTATCTGTCGAATCATGAAATTTTCCCAAGCGTATGAAGTTGAGCTCTGGATTAAGTGGATAGGTAATAATTTTCTCTCCCGACTTACAAGATTGCCATAGCGTTTCACTTCTAGACATGTAGTAATAATGACTAAAATAAACGACCAAAGATTTTCTCTTGCCGACCAGTATATTATCGTAGCCTTAAAGAAATGGTAAACTATGTTAAAAATGACTACCAGAGTAAATGTATCTTAAGCTAAATATAATCTATTGGTTATGATAAACGGTAACTAATTGTTGAAAATCCAGATCAAACCCTAGATGCCACATTTATTTGAAACGTCTACTTATGCGGTTTGAAATTTTGATGCAAAATCTGGCAATACCGCTCAGAAGAAATGTTCCCACTCATACCCACCCAACTTTTTTCTCTTTTTAATACATTTGATTTGCCATTAAGCTGCCTACATCACTGTCTTACACGTTAAAATCCTATACACAGAGTTGACCTGTCCCGATGTGTATATGTGTACTGACTAATATGACATCAAGGCCAGCTTCTCCTTGAAAAATTATTTTGTCCTTATACAATACGCGACATACTTAATAGCATGCCAATATTTAAATCCGATTAATAATTTTATTTTTTGTCATACGCTCCCAAGAAGCAAAGCTATTTTGAACAAATTTAAGTCATCATTTCTTCGGCCTAGGCCGTAAAGGTCGTCATGGCAAACTTTATGGACTAAAATGTCTAAATTCGTTATTTGGTTGTTTTATTTTGTCATTCAGAAATTTCACAAAAATCACATAAATTATACATATATTTATAATTAAATTAAATATTTTTTTTTTTTTTTTTATTTTTATTTGTTTAAAGTAAGTTCCTAGGTACCTATTTAAAGAGGCTTTTTTAAATTAAATCTTCTAAATTACAGTCACAACCATTCAAACTAAAATATTATTAAATATTTTTTTTTTTTTTTTTTTTTTAATTAAAAGATATTTATATTGACAAATTTCCAAAACTTATTATTTTTAAGAAGAGGAACTAGTTAGTTTACGAGCCTAAAAAGTCTAGGGTTTTGTCCATAAAAGAGATCAGTGATTTTTTGGCCACAGCTAGTGATGACTTTTTTACTTACTAAGGTAAGTTTGCGTGTGATTTTTAAAATATAGATGGTTTTCTTATTCCATTGTATTTGATTTCAATTATTAAATGTAACAATATCAAAAGCTAAGTTATTTGGAAAAATAAAATGAAATGAACAATTTTGTGCATCTTGAAAACTTGCATCTGCAATCGAAACGACTCCTCTATTGGCAGGTAAATTTACTCTCTGATGAGGTGGAGTAAATTAAATTTTGATAGTGCCTCCGTGGAAGTGGTCGCATTTCTTCACACCAGCTTTCTTCTTTTTCTCAATAGATTCTTCTATGTAACCTTCAGCCACTGTGGACATTCCAACAAATGTATTTAGACAGTCAGGAAAATATTCAATTTTTCCCTCCAACCTCCTGGGCGTTTCAGCGATGTAAAATCCTCATCTGCATCTGCAGCAAGAGTAGCAGAACTACGTCGGAAACAATTACCTGTATATTCGTTTGGGTTCGACAACTTTAAAAATGCTGCTACAATCAATGGCATCTTCCCAAATGAATGAATTCCGACTCGTTGCACGGTGCATTTTCCTTTGCAGATAAGAGATGAGACATAATCATGTGTTTTGTGCATTTCACTGACAAGCATATTTTCTTCTAACTCAACTGAGTTATTGTGGTTCCTTCGTTCACCACCGGAAACACTCTTTGGATATTAGTTTTTGTATCCGCAAGTGTAACTAAAAGGCAGCTGCTGTCTTTTTCTATGATGTATTGCACTCGTAGAGAGTATAATTCTTCTCTTCTACATGATCCACAAAGGCCAATGACAAGAGCTACCTATAAATCAAATACAATGGAATGAATGTATCTATTTTAAAAATCATTATCACAAACTTACCTTAGTAAGTAAATAAGTTTCATCGCTAGCCGTGGCCAAAAAATCACCGATCTCTTTATGGACAAAACCTTGGAGCTTTTTAGGCTGTAACCAATAGATTCCTCTTTAACAATAAGTTTTGGAAATTTGTCAATATAAATATCGCTTTAATATAATAAGCATGGAATATTGGTGAGATGGTTTAAGATGATATTTATTGTAATTTAAGAATATTTTAATTTAAAGCCTCTTTTAAATAGGTACCTAGGTACTTACTTTTCCGTGGAAATAATTTAGCAATAAATCTTCATTTACAACAGATACACTTGTTTTTGTCTTCCATTCTGTAAAACATCATGTGCTACAATGGCAGGACTTCAGGAAGTAAATCAACACGATTTCTTTTGGCCTTATTAACAATATGTTCGGGATTTTGGAACATTTAAAATTGTTGATGAATTTGTGTTATTTTGTGACAAATTTCGAATGATATGTCAAAATGCGATGAAATAAACAAACTCGTTACTAAGATATGAATTTATAAGCCAACTTTTCAAACATTATAATTTCAAATATGGAAAATTTGCAAATATGCGTTCTAAAAAACTGTAAAAAGCGTATGACAAAAAATAGTGTATGTAACACGTACCTAAATTATGTTTTTTAGGACTCATCTACTATTTCGG